GGTTAGGTAAGTAATTTGTACTAATTACTTGCTGAAGCCTGTAAAAACGGTTATTTTCAGTTTTATTTCCTTTGAGAAAAAGGATGTGAGGTTCCGGCTGTCTGTTGGTACTGAATGTCTATTTATTTACGTACCCATTTATTTATTTACTTGCACTTTATCTATTTATTTATTTTACGTCTTTGTAAATAACATCCTACTGGGCCTTTCGCTCACGTTTTATGTTTTAAATGTATTAATCCCCTCCCAGGAGACTCTAGGAGCGGTGCGGGGTAGCGAAAGATTACTACTATTGGATCAAGTGAGGATTGAGTTCATCCTCTTGGACAAATGTAAGGAATTTGAAAACTTCTGTAAACTTATGTAATATTTGGATTAACTAGACTGTGGTTGATGTCTGTTGTAATGATTATTTACATGAGCATGTATGTACAATACTGTATGTCCTGTGGGGTGGAGCCCTGTGTGTCAAAGGCTCCAGAATTCTGTAAGTTATTTATATTTTAATGCAATTGAGTGGGGCTAGTTTGGGAATCTGCTTTATTAACCCCTAATCGAGCTCCACGTCACCCACCCCATTTTGGGGGCGTGACAGCTACACATTAACTCTTAATGATAGAATTAGCAATCACACTTTGCCAAAAGGCTCCTGGTTTCTGTAGTAGTTTATTTATATTTTAATACAGTTAAGTATGGGGCCAGGTCTGGGAATCTGCTTTATTAATCTCTAATTGAGCTCCACGTCACCCACCCTGTTTGGGGGGCGTGACAGAAGAGTATAGTTCAACGCAAAACTAGAATCATTGTGGAATGATGTCCTCGATTCAGAGAAAAGAAAATAAATTTGTCGAGACCACAACATCCTAAATTATGATCATTTTCTGTTTAAGAATTTCTACATTAGAAAAAATAAATAGAGAATGCAATTCAAGGAAATATCTAGAAAGAAAGAAAACTCAATTTTTGCGTTACCTCTTCTTCACACTCTGCTTCTTTTCTTTGACGTTGTTGTTCTTTCCTGCTTTCTTCCAAGCGCTTCCTCCATCAGCATCACCATCAACTCCGACAAGGCTTCTCACAGAAACAAGTGTGTCGCAAATAATAGGAAAACCAGAACCCACCGTCGTATTCTTGACCCTCCTCCTTTTCATATCAAACAAACGGAGTTTCTCACCGTCTTGATCCAACAAAACCTGATCACCACCCTTCAAATACGCCACAGGGATCATGTAACTGAAAGGCCCAGTCACTTTCGATGATACCACTGAAAATAGCTTAGTCCATGACTCCTTAACCCCATATTCCTTCATCACCAACACCTCAACCCGGTCTGAGTTCTTAATTTCCGAATCCTGATTCGGCAAAACTGCAACACAAAAGGACCCTCCTATGTTCACCAACTTCACCCAACAAGTCTTTGCACCCTTATAATCCGGCAGTGCCACCTCGCGGTAATCTTCAGTCACAAGATCAAAAACAAAAATTGAGCTTGAGGGTTGGGACTTTAAATTCACCAACCAATGCAAGGCATTAGCAAAAAGGACTCCATTCTCACGATGGTAAACAATGTGATTCGGGAAGTGATCAAGTCTCTTCCAAGTCTTGGCCTTTAAACTATAAACCTTGGCCTCACAGTGAAAAGAGTCAACAATTATCCCGCTAAAATTGATCATCAGTAACACCTTATGGTCGTCAGTAATGGGGTCGTGTCCAAATCCAGTGATGAGAACTTGGAATACATGGAATGGAAATGAAGCGAAATGATCAGAAATGGGTAGACTGATGTACCTTCGAGTGGATGGGTTCCAGACAGCCATATCTCCATTAGAGTTCATCAGAGCAAGCAAGCCATTGCAGCCTCCGACCACGTCGATCCCGGTTCCGATGTCTATTGGGTGAGGGAGTCGTTCGGCCGAGTTGAGATCGTCCAAGTCGAGCCAGCAGAGGTCGTTGCGGCCTCCGAAGACGACGCCGACGTCGGAGTTGGTTTTTAGGGAATGATTGAGGTGGAGCTTGATGAAATCATGGCCGTCGATCAGGGAGCACCATGACTTCGATACGGACCTGTACCGGAGCAGATCTTTCACCGGTAATCGGCAGAGAATGTCTACGATTATCTCCCATGGGAGGAATGTCGCCATTTTTGTTTCTAGTTCACTGGGACTTAGGGACAAAGGAAGTGTTTTTTTCCCACAAATGACGTGAAGCATTGTATAGTAGTAGTAGTAACATTGCTTAATATGCTTAGTGACGAAGCAAAGATATTGTCGTTTTTAGGTAGTCTTATGTCGTTTTATTTGATAGAGTATCGTTTGCGATAATAAATTAATGTCATTTTCCACTATGTCTTCTCTTTTAATTAATTTCATTTCGATACACACACACACATATATATATACATATATATATCTTTTCCTGTTTGTAGTGCGTATGTTGTCGTTTTAATATATCTTTTTTTTTTACTGAAGTTTTTATTATATCGTTGTTTTAAGGAATATATGTCGCTTTATTATTTTTATGAAAAACACTTTCTCAAAAACAAAAATCATTAAAAAAAATAAACACGCCCAAAGGTATTGGAGCAGATCGTCAAACCATGTTCAGAGTAAAAATAGAAAAAATAAAAGTATCCCTACACTGTTCATAAAGAATCCGATTATATATCTAAAAATAATAAAAACGTCAAAACATATTTTTCATCACAACAAAACCTTCAAAAACATATTTTTACCATGGCTCCCATGACATTCTTAGAATTTTAAAATTTATCAGTCAAATATTGGTTAATCTTCAAGGTCAACTAAGAGAGGGATGTCTTTGTAGTATTTTTAAAAAGCTAGGTTGACTTAATTAATTTTGATTAAGAGAGTGTCTATTTATTTCAGTAAAATACAGAAGAAGGTGTAAGTGTAATAAATCTTTTATTTAATAATATTTTTTATTTTTGATGGAGTACGCAAGAAGCTATGGCTTTGCTTATTTTTTCGCTAATGTATTGCTTTACTTATTAATTTCCAAATTTCCTCCTCATTGTCGTTTTACAGTACGAATGTTGTCTTTTTTCAATCTATTAATGTGAGATTGTGCTCTGCATATTACCGTATTGATGTTAATTAAATAGTTTATTATTTACTATTTATTTACTATATAATGCAAAATTTATTTATACACAATTAAGTGCTTTCAAATTTCTTTTAAAAATTACCTCTACCTCAACAGCGGCAAATTATAAAAATATATATATATATTTATATAAAAAAAATAGTTACAATTGTTATGTGAAAAAAAAAAAACAGTTTAAAAAGAGACATATTTGAGAAGGCTTAATTATAAAATCTCTTCGTGAACTATACTCCTGTCCCCAATCTTTGAAAGGTAATATTCTGTTCCTCATAAACAATAAAATATTAACACACAAAAAACCCCTCCGTTAAGTTTTTTTAAGGGAAATTGACATGTAATTTGTTATTTTCAGGATATTTTGGTAGTTTTAAGGTTTAAAATTTAATTTGAATTTAAAAGTAATTTAAATTTGAACTTTTAATTATGATACATCCATTATTAATTGAATATAAGCTAAAAGTTTCATGAATTTTTTTGGTAAAATACAAAAATTTATGATGTTTTTTTTTAATTTTTAAATTAGTTTAAATTCAAATTAAATTTTAAACCATAAAATTAACAAAATACCGGTAAGATAGAAAATTAAATATCAATTTCAATTAAAAATTTAGCATACGAGGATTTTTTGTTAACATTGCGTTGTTCAGGGGGAATAGATGTTACGTTTTAAAGATCAGGAAGTAAAGTATTATAAGGGTTATAATTCAAGGAGAATTTTTGTAATTAATCCATTTGAGAAAAAATTGTTTTAGTGGGTCAATTAGAAAAAAATATATTTTTAAGGATCACTTTTGATACAAAACTCACTTGTGACAAATTATTCAAAAGGAGCACGAGAGGAAAAGAAAAAACTATATAAAAAAACACGTCAAAAAATAATTACAATGTAAATGAGCCGTTGGCAAAAATGAAAACAACACACACACACACAAAAAAATAGAGGATACATTAGAAAGAAATTGTGTACATAGAAATAAAGCGGGAAAAAGATATTTCAAAAATGCACATTATAAAAAATAAGGGTTTCTCCACGGGAGACTTCATAAAAAAACCATAGGTGGAATACCTTATTTTGACTGTTGGATTGCCTTTTCAACAGTCAAATCTGTAGAGAGAACAATTATGTGCCAACCGCTGTAAATTCTTAGTATGAACATGTACATATCTAACTGTTAAAAACTTAATCTAACGGTCAACACATGGTGTTCTATCAGTGAGATTTTTTAAGAGGTCTCACCGTAGAGTCTACTAAAAAATAAATTAGGTAAAAGAGCAAAACATAGAGAAAAAATTGTAAAGAATTACAAAATGTGAAACACAAAAAACAAAATATGAAAGAAAAATGAGAGATTGATACATGGCTAAAAGAGAGAAAATCTCTTTTAACTCTTTTATGTACGTAAAGATTCTCGTTTTCTATATATTTCGTCGTAAGATGCTTCATTTCAAGTCATTGTCATCTTATAAAGCTCGTCATTTTTAGTATTATGTCGAGAAAAGGAAAAAATAACAAGCAATCGATTTAAGACCCGTTTAGTTCGTTGATTTAAATTTTTAATTTGAGTTAATATGTCATTTTTTATGAGAATTTTTTACTGCAACAATAAAGTTAGATGTGATTGACCTTTTTATTATAGCAAAACTCGAATTCTAAACTCAAATCGATAAAATGAAAAGATTGTTCTAAAAAAAAAATAAACAGCAACAACAACGCAGGCATTTTAATGTACTGTTGCTCTCAAATTTATGCCGCTCTTTCATGCTCCCGTTGTACGTTGTTGTCGTTTTGCAGAGCTTTTGTTGCCCATTAACCATGATGTCGTTTAAAGCGATGTTGTCGTTTTGCATAGCTATTGTTGCCTTTTAATGTCGTTTTATTCCAGAAGAATAATAGAACGAAGAAAAGTCTTGTCCTGAGGCAATTACCTATTTACCTCAACCATTATCAGCTGATGCAGAATTTGCACTCATAAATTCACTTCTTGTATGCCAGAAAAACAAGAAGCGCAAAATTTAGTTGAAGAACTTTCTTTTTTCCCGGAATAGTTGAAAATTTTAAAGAAGCGCAGAAAGTGCAAAAATGAAATTGAAAAAAAAAAAAAATCCTACACTGTTCATAAATTACCCAATTATATATCTAGACAAGATCCAAACATCAGATCACACGTGATTGCCGGCAACAAAACCATCAAAAACAAAATATACCATCTCCCATTACATTCTAGTCACAAAAAAAGTTAAAGGCACATTACAAGTAACATAACCGTCAATATATACACTGCCAAAAACACGATATAGCAAAGTTCAACATTGTCTTCATTCACTGCTAAACATATTTTTCATTTCATCTAGAGATTAATCCATTAGCTAAACCCCAACAAAACCCTGCAGCCTTAGCCTGAGAAAAAAAAAAAAAATGGCACCATGATAGATCAGATAAAGCATAGCAGTCGACATCAATGTTGCATAAGATAGCAATCCTTCCTCTGCTAATGGTAAAGTAGTAACGACAATAAATGGTAAGAGTAAGGGAGCGAGCTTAATAAGCATCAACGATACCTCGGTTGGTCCTCTTCCTGCTCTATTTACAACACCAGTTTAAATCCCTTGGACAGGAAATCATCCCTACTCAAAGCAAGTTAGAAAGTAAAACCCAATAAGATAACAGTCAACACTCAAACGTCAAGTTTCCAAATAATTAGCATACATGTATCCGACCACAATACCCTTTGATAGCATCAGCTAGATGCAGAAATCATGTAAAGTTATTGCTTTACTGAATCTCTAGATCGCTGACAATGTGAGCGATATTTCAACTCGCATATGTTAAGACAAGAACAATACATGTAGAAAAATATCTCTCTTTTTTCCTCTGAAAAGGAAAGCAGAAGTTCAAGCATAAATATTATACAAGTGCATTGTTAATGCCTTAATGCAGTAGAAAAAAGTGCGCAATTGTGGAATGATGTCCTCAATACTGAAAATATCAGAATATAAATTTGTGGATAAAATATAACATTCTAATGATAATTATTCATTATTAGTCAATGCCCATATTAGATAAGAATGTCTACACAAAAGAAAGAGTGCAATAATATGAAATAGCTAAAAAGAGAAAATCATTTTGCATTACCTCTTCTTATCACTCTGCTCCTTTCCTTTCCTCTTCTTCCCTGCTTTCTTACCACTGCCTTCTCCATCATCACCATCAAGTCCAACGAGGCTCCCCACACAAACAAGCGTGTCAAAAATTCTAGGAAAACTAGAACCCCTCAGTTTCTTGACTCTCTTCCTCTTCACATCATACAAAAGGAATTTCTCACCGTCTTGATCCAATAGAATCCGATCACCACCCTTCAAATATGCAACAGGAACCACATACCAGAAAGGGCCAGTCACACTTGATGGTGCCACCGAAAAAAGCTTACTCCAAGACTCCTTTACCCCATATTCCCTCATCACCCACACATCAACCCGGTCCGATTTCTTAGAATCCTGATTGTAATTGCATAACACCGCAAAACAAAGGCACCCTCCTAAGTTCACCAATTTCATACGAGAAGTCTTGACATCCTTGTCATCCGGAAGCGCCAACTCACGGTGATCTTCAGCCACAAGATCAAAGGCGAAAATCCAGTTCGAAGTGTCAGATCTTCTGATCACCGACCAATGCAAAGCGCGACCAACAACAACACCGGACCCAGGACGGTAAACGAAGTGATCGGGAAAGTCATCAACCTTCTTCCAAGTTTGGGCCTTTACACTATAAATTTCAACTTCAGAGTAATAATCAAGATCTTGCGGTTCTTCATCAACAAGAGTATAAAACATCTTCATCAACAACTTGTGATCATCGGCAATAGGGTCGTACCCAAATCCCGACATGACAAATTCGAAAGAATCTGAGAGAAAGTAGAACTCGTGTTCAGAAATGAGCAAAGTCCTGTAACTTCGAGTGGATGGATTCCAGATAGCCACATCTCCGCCCTTATTCGCCAGAGCAACAAGGCCATTGCAGCCGCCGAGCACGTCGATTCCGCGTCCGATGTCTATTGGGTAAGGGAGTCGTACGGCCGAGTCAAGAGTGACCAAGTCAACCCAGTAGAGTTCGGTACGGTCTCCGAAGATGACGCGGTGGTGGGAGGTGGTTTCCAGGGACTGCTTGAGGTGGAGCTTGATGAAATCAGGGCCGTCGATAAGTGAGCACCATGGTTTCGACACGCACCTGTAGCGCAGCAAATCCTTCACAGCCAGTCGGCTGAGAATGTCTGCGATTATCTCCCAGGGAAGACTATTCGCCATAGTTGTATCCTTCTGCTAAGTTGGGGCAAATGGGTTTCTCTGACAAATGAAACGAAATGAAAGGATTGCTTGCATGAGTATGTTGGAATTAAACAATTAAGCCGGACGAAAGAGTTTTTTAAATTACACAATTACCCTTGTGTAACGTTTAATAACAATTTATAACGAAAAATTTGCTCTTTTTTTTTTTTGTTTTTTGCTTGTTACCAAAAATACACAATTACCCTCAAAAAAATACTTATTAGTGACTGAAAGGGAACTAACCCACTCTTTAGCGGTGTTTACCATTTTAGACGTTTATTGATTTTTTTTCCTTAAAGACCCTAAAAAGTTGGGCGTTAATATGGATAATAATACGATAATACGATTTGAAAACGACACGAATTTTATAGGTTATGATTGAGAAAAAAGAGGTTCGGATCAGATTTAAATCGACCTTAAATTGACACGAAAAACACGGGTCAATTTAGGATTGGGACCGTCTAATCCGAACACGACACGAAACTCCAAAAAAACTAAAAAATATATATTTTTCATTACATATATTTAAATTTTATTATGAATTTGTAATATCATAATAGTTATACTAAATATCTAATATTATTATTTGCTTAATTTTGATGGATGTTATTGTATTTTAGCTTGTGATAAATTTTAAATTATTTCTAATATATAAAAAATTAAAGAAAAGTATATAATTTGTGTCAATTTCAGATTCACGGGTCAATTTCGTGTCACGTGTCATTTTCATGTCATGTCAACTTGTAAAGTGATCGTGTCGTGTTACGGTTTTTAAAAAATTGTGTCACAGATCGTATTCGGGTTGACTGTAAATTTAAAAAGAAAAGATCAAAACACGATACGAACATAATATGTGATACGAATTACCAACGCTTACTAAAAAGTGACGAGGAAATAAATAACTAATTAACGGTATTGACCTTAAAATGTTCTAATTACGGTGTGCACGGGAAAAATCTCACGCGTCTTGATTTACAGTATCATCATTTCTTGAATTTCTTTCAGTATGTTGAACCTTTAACGATTGGCTATATCATATTTGGCCGGCAATTTGTCTTTTGGGATTTCTCTTTACGGGCGATGATACCATGTTCATCTTAATAAGCTTTTGATAGTAGCTCCTGGTTGTGTGAGTTATATTGATGCACAAAACTTTTTTTTTTTTTTTGGAAGCTCAGCACTCAGGTTAAATATCAATTTTGTAGAAGATTCTAAGAACAAGATACGACGTCATGAGTAAATTAAGAACGAGATGATGCATGACCATTGATAACGACAATGTTTTTATAAGAACGACGACTATTAAATATCGTGCTCAAAAAATCCTTAAAGAATTATGATAAATTTAAACGACAACATACTATAAAAAGATTGATAAAACGACTAGATCGTACTAAAAAAGTAAAAAGCCAATAAACAGCATCAAAATTAACTGTCCGATATCGGTTTTGCTACCGGCTATCCAAGCTTTTAAAAAAATACATCTATTATTATAGGAAAAAAAGAAAAAATTTCAAGTATGATTGTTTTTTCCAACACTGTTATATATGTCATTTTAAATAATTAGATACTATTGTAGTTCTTTATTTTATTCTTATTAGTTAAATGATACTCATTTAGTTTTAAGTAGAGTGATATAAATACTTGAGTGGTATTTATTTATTTGTTGTTCTAAAAATAAACAGGAAACTTTCCCTAAAGAAAAAATAATTAAGTAGTCTTAAGATAATATCAACTCTGACACTATATTAGACATGTTCTAATAGAAATTAAAACTACGTTCGCTTTACAGATTTAAGTTTTTAATTCGAATTAAGATAAGACATTTTCTGAGACTTTTTAATTATAACAGAAAACGTTATATGTGATATTTTTTGAGAGTTTTTAACTCTAAAAACTTAAAATTAAAAACTCAAATCGATGAAATGAATGAGACATAAATATTAAAAGGTGAAAAAAAACGTGATATATGCTATTGCTATAGCATCGTTCAAATTTAAGACAAAAAATCATATTAAATGGGTAAAAACCAATATGATTTAGAATGTCTTTTTTGTTTTTTAAATTTATATTAAAATTTATCTATTCAATATATTTTTTTAATTTAATTTAATTGGATTTAATAGTAAAAAATTAAAAATAGGGCAGACTACTATCCACTAATTATCCATTTTCTTTTTCTGACCAAAAAAGTAAGGGGTTGTTTAGTTGGGGGATTCGTACACCGATTCGAATCATGGTTCATAGTTCGTTATAGTGTTTTCTCTTATAAAAAATACACGTAAATTAAAAAATAATTCTAATTATATGATTCTAATTAATCAACTAAACGCCTCTTAATTCTTGCCTTTTATCAAATTAATTCTTCATTATCTTAGCAAAAAGTTAGTTATTTATTAGACGTTACTTAATCGAGATGGCAATTGCGGAATCAAAAAAGTGACGTTCACTCTTGTCGACAACTTTAATTATTGACTAGACTATATAACACTTTCACTCACTCCCTCAAACATCCATGAAAAGCAGAGAAGAAACCCCTTCATCTTCCCAAACTTTCCTTGCGTGATACTCTTGAGAGAACAACAATGGCGAAGACCCTTCCTTCGGAGATCATCACGAAAATTCTCACCCGTCTAGCCGTGAAGGATCTCCTGCGCTACAGAGGCGTCTCCAAGCCCTGGTGCTCCCTCATCGACGGCCCTGATTTCATCAAGCTCCACCTCGATCACTCCAAGAGAACCAACACCAACCTCAACGCCGTTCTTTTCAGAGACAACAACCTCGCCTGGGTCGATCTCGACGCGCTCAGCCCCGCCGTCAAGCTCAATCACCCAATCGACGACGATCGCCGGGTCGATGTCATGGGCTCTTGCAACGGCTTACTCGCTCTCTCGAACTCCAGCAACGACATCGTTTTCTGGAATCCGTCCACAAAAAGGTACAAGAAGCTTCCAATTTCCAACGTTAACGTTAATGTCTCAACGTCCTCTGCTCGAAATCTTGATTTTTACGGATTTGGACATGACCCTGTTACTGATGACTACAAGTTGGTAAAGATAACATTTTTAGCTGGAAATCCTTTCGACTCTGAGGTTAAGGTTTATAGTGCAAAAGCCAATTCCTGGAAGAGAATTAATAAAGCTTTCCCTTATTTCATTGATCTCAAGACGCAGTACGGCGTTTATGCCAGTAATGCTTTGCATTGGTTTGTCGCCGGAAAGTATCCGTCCCATATCCCGGAGTTAGTTGTTGCGATTGATCTTGTGACCGGGGAGTACCGCGAGATTCCGTTGCCTGAGTACGACAAGGCTGATAATAGTGTTTTTATGTTTTTGGACGGTTTGGGAGGGTCACTTTGTTTGACTTGTAACTATGTGAAGAAGACGGTCTCGTCGTACCGTGTTGATATCTGGGTGATGAAGGAATACGGGGTTAGGGATTCTTGGACTAAGATGTTTACTGTGAAGCCCTCTAAGGCGATCGGAACTTTCCTTTTTGTGACTCCTGTTGCGTATTTGAAGAGCGGGGAGCAAGTTATTTTGAATCAAGAGTGTGAAAGATTCATAACGTATGATCTGCAAAGGAAAAAGGCTAAGAATTTGAGAATTTCGGGGCTTCCTGAACGCTTCAGAGCACAAGCATGTGTTGGAAGCCTCGTTGGACTTAATGGTGGTTGGGATGGGGAAAATGAAAGTGGGAAGAAGAAGAATACTGATAAGATGCAAGGGAACAAGAAGAAAGACCTTAATAGGAAGCAAAGGTAAATGTAGAATTGGTTTTCTTCTTTGTAAGTTCCCTTATAATCATTCTGTTCAAATTATAATTTGTCAAAGGATGATGATTATATATATATATATATATATATATGTTTCCTGTTTAGCAGGGATGATTTCCTATCGAAAGGATTTAAGTTGGTGTTATAGATTACACTGAGAAAGGCTTAAGGAGTTAAGGTATGAGTAAATTTTCATGTTCTTCCAGTTGATTTCTTTAAGCATGTGCTTCGTTTTTGGTTACTATGTTGTGTAGATTTTAAAGTATTGTTTCCGAACATTTGTTTGTTCTTAATCTTTGTTTCTTGTGGTGTGATTGAGTTTAGGCTCAGGTGGAGAGTTCAAATTTTACCTTGTTCTCATTGGCTCATCTTTGTTTCTTGTCTAGCTTCTTGTTCCTCACCATATATTATGTATATGAGCTAGTGTTTCGACTTAATTCTAGTTCTTGAGACTTTATTTTGGCCTTTGCTAACTTCGACACTCGTAAGTGATAGTACTGCCATATTGGTGAATTTTGGATGTGCTTTCCGGCTGATTATGGAAGGACATTGGCCTGGGTGCTGAAGCAGTAGCGCGAAAATGAAGAATTGTGTAGAATGTAACATATAAAACTTATTTTGGGACTTATATCGAAGGGGCGTGCTCTGACATTAGTTTTTGAAGGAACAAAAAGGTTTTGTAGCTAAATATAATTTGCCATGCATGTTTTCCAGGACTTTGGTCTGGTAATCTGGTCTTTAAAGGATCATGTTACCATGCTCATATGTTACTTGTGAAGTTTGCAGTCCTGTATTGAACTTATTGATGCAATATATAGATTTATGTTGTTTCACGTTATAATATCTGAAATGTACGTGAAAGGGAATTTTAGCACTGCTGAAATTAGCATCTTCGACATGAAAAAAAAAAAAAAAAAAAAAAAAAAAAAAAAAAACCCCCTTAAAATTTTTTTTAAAAAAAGGACAACCCCTTCAAAAAAAAAAAAAAACATAGTCCCGTTAACTATTTCCTTTTGCAGCGTTGCTCGCTATGGAAGGCTAATAATGCGTTATATGATTTGAATGGTCCATTGATTTTCAAGTCCGACACTTTTCATTTATATCTTAATGCGTCACCAGATGATGTCCCATGCAGACATATCGACAAACAGAAGGCGGTGGACCACACTTATTCAACAGTAAATACTTGAATTTACACGAATGCGTAGGCAGTTTTTACCCTCGGAAAACAAGTTTAAAAACCTTGTATGAAGAAACAGGTTTCTGAACGGGGCTTGCGTTCCTGCTTGAATTGATGGAGGATTATTGCTCGCGACATGTCTTACAACTTTTGTGATTTTACACTGTTGATTAGCTTCTCAGGCCTACTACGGGCCTAACCGATCATCTCTTCTTCGTCAGAAGTCCTACCGTACAAAGTTTCTCTGTGAACGCCGCGTGTTTCGTCCGCGTCAACATCGACACTACTGAATCTAATACTTACACGTGTATACTTTGTACACGTCGTACTCACTAAATCTATCGGACCCCAACACCAGGATTTTTCTCTATTCTTCTTGGAGAATCTCTCCGCGCCCAAAATTCCAAATCCAAAACAAATTAGTGCCAACATTGTTCCTTCTTCTCCAAAGTACCAATCCAAAATCCAACCTTATTTGCCGATTAGAACATTAGAGATTCTCAATTAGATTACAAGCTATTTGCTAAATCGACGAATCAAAATAACTATAAATCGGTGTTTGTTTCATGAGTTCGACGTAATTGGCACGATTTAAATGAGTCACAATTTGAAATGGCATTTGGCCATAAAATCACCACACAATTAAGATTGGAAAAGATTATTAAACTTGCTTGTTTTGAAAATAAAAAATTATTAAGATGGATTTTAAAAAGTTTTCACTTTCTTTTAAGAGAAGAAAATAAAAAAGTTGTTTAAAACAAAATATTTGGAATGAGACTTAATAAGTGCTACCGATGTTCAAAATGTCTCTACTTATTTATGAATTATTCATAGAGTGATTAACATTAACATATTTTTACTTAAGACTACAGTCTAGTGACACTCGAAAATTTGAGTGAGATGAGATTTGAGGGAGGTTGTGGTTTACTGTTGTGTTGTATCAAAAGGAAAAAAAAAAATAGTACAACTTTCGATATTTAATATTTTTCATCCATTTATTTAACAAAAGACTAAAATTATGGCATCGTTTACTTCACGGATTCAAATTTTCAATTCGAGCTGAGATGTGACATTTTCTAAAAATTTTTCACTGTAATAGAAAAAATTAAATGTGACATTTTTTGATAACTTTTTACTGTAAAAATTTAAAACTGAAAACTCGAATAAGTGAAATGAACGAGGCATAATTTTTTTTTCTTTTGCCAATTGCTAGAAAGTACATGCTACAACTCTTCTTCACGCTCAATTGATGCTTCTAATTTCAAAAAAATTAAAAAAAAAATGCTTGTGATTCTTTTTACCCAAATATACAAGTATGTGACAATATTTACAGCACGAAAAAAGAAGGCGGGTTATGCGTATTAAAACTTAGAGCTAGAGAAAAAAAAAAAAAAAAAAAAAAAAAAAAAAAAAAAAAAAAAAAGAAGAAGAACCAAAAAAAAAAAAAAACGAAGCAAAAGCAGTTTCTTTTCTTAAAAGAATTTGAAATGGAAAATTTGAATTCTACACCTTATAATATAATTTAGATGCAAAATTATCATTAAATTATGCTTCTTCACTTAGCCAAAACAACATTAATGGCACGTTTGGATCAGAGTTTTTTTTTTCTAAACAAATTTGTTTACATTTTTGCGTGACAAAACATTTGGTTCTAAAAAATAGTCAATTCACCGATTTATTGGTTATATTTTATAACAGACGAATGCCAAAAAATAAAAAATAAAAAAATAATAATAAAAGAAAGAACAACTAAGGCCAAAATACAATCTCAAGATTCAAAAGCAGCAAATACTTCGATGCCCATATTTTACAAAGGTCTTTCCAAGTATTTGGACAATATCATCATTAACATGAAAACACAATATCGCCTGTAAACGTAAATCCCAAAAGACATTTAAACTTCCCATGTTATCAATACATGATGCATCAAAACTCAAAACATTCTAGGAGATTCAGTAAAACCGTTTTTACCTTTGTATCTAGGTATAATCGGTCAATTCTAATACTATGAGATCAGTAAAAACACCAGAAAACATTCTGCACCATATATCAACCTGAAGGAAACAAAGAAAGCAAGATAAGAGTACGTAAGAATTTGCCATAACTATTGCAACAATCCAAGAATATTTATAGACCAAGAATCTTTCCTCTGTTTGTAGTAAATTACCACATAATATAACCTTAAAAAGCGATTGATATACAGGAATGCATATAAACTAGGGCGAGATGCAAAATCATTAAGAATTCTTCACATACCTCTCGCCCCACTCCGCGTGCTCCATTCATAAAACCAGTTTAAACCCTTTTGACAGGAAATCATCTCTGCTCAAACCATGTAGAATACAGGTTTGTTAGAGTACTTGACTACTAAACTTTTGACCATTATAATTTATAGTTAATCCTGATCTTGCAGAATCGAAACAGGAAATCAAAAGACTGTTAGTTTACCTCTTCTTCCCTCCACGCTGTTGCTTCTGCTTCTTTACCTTGTTCCCATCCTCCCCAGCCTTCTTCTTCCTAGTAGCCTTTTCACCGTCAAATCCAACAAGGCTTTGCACACAAAAGCGCGCTTCCACAAATTTCGGAACACCAAATATACTCAAAGTCTTGATCCTCTTCTTTTCCAAATCATACAAAGCAATCTTCTCACCCCCCAAATCCAAGACAACCTGGTCACTACTCTTCAAATACGCGACAGGCTCCGCATAATTGAAAGGACCAGTCACATAAGTAGGCATCACGGAAAACAGCATAGTCCAAGAGCCCTTACAACCGTATTCCTTCATAACCCATATCTCAACCGGATTATAACTCTTCGTCACACTAAGCCACCCTCCTAATTCCCCGAGGTTCGCATAGAAATTCTTGTCCTTGTAACCCGGCAACGGAATATCGCAGTACTGTTCAGACACGAGATCAAAAGCAACAACTGAGAACAAAGAGTCCAATTCTGGCTTTTCGCCCACCAACCAATGCAAAGCACCGTTAGCAAGAACAGCGTTCCCACGCTGGTAACCATAGTAGTGATATGGGAAGTCGCTTACTGTCTTCCAAGCCTTGGCCTTTACGCTGTAAAGCTTGGCTTCGGAAAGAGAACGGTTTATACCCAAATCTTTTAAATGAAACACCCTAAACAACTTATAGTCATCGTTTACAGAGTCGTACCCAAACCCGGCTGCGCCAAAATCAAACACAGCGCGTGATGGAGACTCGATAACATCAGATAAAGACATTTTTGTGTACCTTCGAGTGGAAGGATTCCATAGAGCCATTAATCCGGACGCATTCGCCAGAGCAAGGACGCCATTGCAGCAACCGAGAATCTCGATTCTGTCTCCGTCGTTGACGACGGGAAGGTAGTTGAGCCGTAGAGGCGGGTGCAGAGTGTCGAGGTCGAGACAGTGGAGCTCCCGGTCGCCGGAGTTGAGAATCAGGCCGAGGTTGGAGCTGGTTTCCATGGAGTGGTTGAGATGGAGCTTGATGAAATCAGGACCGTCGATTAGGGAGCGCCATGATCGGCATACTGGCCGACAACGGAGGAGGTCTTTCACGGTTAGACGGCAGAGTACGCCGACGATTACCTCCGGTGGGAGGCTCGTCGCCATGGTCGTTCGTGTGATGTGTGTGTGAGGGTAGAGAGTCTCTGCTATGACACGATCGTTTGCAGAGAAAGGAGGCACTCTTTTATCTCAGCTTTGCATTAATGAAGTGTGACGGGTGAGAAGACAAAAAGATTATTAAAAACATTTGCAGACGAAAGGCGGTTCATTTCGTGAGTTCTAGTTTAGTTTAGGTAAAAAATTTTAAAAAATAATTATATTTAATTTTTTTATTATAATAAAAAATTTTCGTATAAAATTATATCTCTATTTAAATTAAAATTTTAAATTAATCAGTTAAATTGGCTCAAAATTAGAGAAACGAAGGTTATGTTTAAAATTGTTCTCATTTTTATTTTTTATATTTTTTAAAAAAGAAAAAATAAAATCATTTTTAAGATGACATTTGACGCAATAAAAATAAAAAATAAAAAATAAAAATAATTTTTTTAGTTTAGTGTAAAATGAGAGAGAAATAAAAAACGACTTTTAGTCATTTTTATTTTTTATTTTCTTTTTTTCCTCTCTCGAACAGAGAGAGAGACATTAATTAATTTTTTATACTGAAAATAATCTCTTAATAAAATTACCAAACGCATTTTTAAAAATAATTTATGTCTGAGATTGAAAATATTTTCATTTTTATTTTCATATAAAAAATAAAATCATTTTAAAATGAGTTCTAAACGAGTCTGAAAGATCTGCACAAAAAATACTCAATTTCAAAATTACCCTCGTTATAAAGTAAAAAAGCGTGAATGAAGAATACTTCATAATCATTTTATTTTGGCTGAAAGTACTTTTTATTCACTTGAAAAATGAATATCTAACCGACTATAGAAAAAAGGGGCTTTAGAATCTTGACAATATTAAACAATGGAACTTTGATTAATAGGAAATAGAAACCATCGTTATCGCACCAATAAGTATTGTTGAAAGTTCGTATGTCTTTTAATATTTTGGTTTATTAATGGTAGGGGTTTCGTTTTACTCGCAGTAAGTTTTTAACGTAAATGCTCAAACAACATTGAAAAAAAAAAAACTAAAGAATTGTTCATACCCTATTATATAAATTCTTAAACGGTCATTTTGAGTAAAAAAGAATCAAATATTATTAGAGTGTAATTATAAAAAGAATAATTTGTATTGAATTTTCAAGTTATGCTTCGAACTTTTACTTTTTGATAGAATTTTTAATTCTATTTTATGTTGCCATTAATTATCAAAGATATGTTTTTAGATCCTTTACTTGAGTTCCTAAAGACGTGGAAAACTCTTTCAAGAATTGGTACATTTTTGTAGAGAGTTTGGTAAGCAATACTGTGACAGTGTTTTCAAGAATGGGTACATTTGATTGAGAAATTGCCAATAAAATTCGGATTTAATTTTGAGGAAAAATGAAACTGACAAAGGGTGGGTTTGGTATTGATTCTAGGAGAGAAAAATCACTTTTTCACACATCTAAAATCTAAAAAGTTGTTTGGTAAAACAGATTGTTGAATAATTTTCTTCCAATCTGAAGTTAAAAGCAGAATCAGCCTTAAGGCTGATTCTGATGTTAGATTGTGCGGGAATTTATTTTAAGGTTTTAATGAAATTTTCTATTTCCAATTTTACTCTCAATGAAAGTTAAAATTTACCACATCCAAAACACATTTTCATTTCATCTCCCCCGACTCTCCTCCGCTCACCTCCTCTCCGGAATCACTCTCGTCCCCTGCAAAAAAAAATTCTTGTGCGTTCTATCCTCTCCCCTCTTCTCCGTTTGAGATTTGGTCTCTCTCTCCATTCGCCGGTCTCTCTCCGTTCGCCTGTCGGAGCTCGGTTGGTTTCTCCTCCGCGTGATTGTCCGTTTGCAGGTCGCCCATCTCCTCC